CCAACAAACAAACCAAGGGTTATATTTGGCTTTAGCAAAATAAAAAATTAAAAAAAAAAAAGCCTCCCTCCCTCATCACTTTTCCTGCCCAGATAGGGTGATAAACTAATAATATTTTTTATAGGGCCTAAACTTCTGGTGGTGATTTTACCTAGATGTTTTTCCAGTCTGGATTTAAATTGATTAATTGTCTGCAAATCCACAGCTTCATCAGATATTGTTCCAGTCATTAATCACTCTTGCAGTATAATTATTTTCTCCCCACTTAGTTTTAACATGGTTTTAATCTCAGTTTCTTCAATTTTAATGAATGTCCTCGGTGAACGCAACTGACTATTAAAGACAACTAAATGTTAATAAATTTTACAGTATTACTTCTTCCTTACTTCTGTCTCTTTCAGTGTCTTTGTCTTATTACCATTGTACATGTACACATGGTGATTTACTGTATATGAATGATAAGAGTAGAGCCAACACAGGCCATAAATCATCAGGCTCATCAAGGCTTTTATAGTGTACAAGAAATACATGCATTTAAGAACATTTAGGTATGAAATACTTTAATGATTACTACAGACATGCACCCTATTCCCCTGCCCTCCCACCAAGGCAGCAAATTAGTTCCACTATGAGGGTTAAACTATTAAAATAACTATTAAATTTTCTTTGGAATAAGGATTTATTTCCGAATTCTCCTTTTTCGCACCCCCACCCCCCTCAAACCCAACTGTGGTTGAATATTAAATAAATGAAATGAAAGCTTGAAAATTCTAACACTAAAAAAAAAAAAGCTACTTTCATTTATATAAATATTACCTATATTACAACAATTCTTTATATTTGTTATAAATCAATATTATTTATGAATAGAATCTAACCTCATCATTTAATAATACTATATAGTTAACACAGTATATTTTAGTAGAGTTGGATGGATACAGTATATTTTATAAGATTACCAATCTATAACATTTAATGACAAAAAAAAATCTGGACTGAAATAGATATAAAACATAAATTAAAAATTTGAACTGTTTATAAGATTAATAAGGTGATTATTTGGGACTTTTGAAAGTATAGTGAACTTTATTAGGCTTCAGGTTACAGCTTTCCAAATTACAACCAACTTGATGAGGTCCCAGGTTGGAATTTTTGAGATTCTATAGGCAACTTTTATAAGTCACTGTGAGTTCAGTTGTGAGAAAAATCATGATTTTTGGGGAGGATTGAACCTGGGACCTTGATATTAAAAAGCCGGCACCTCAACCACCAAACCACGGCTCCACAGTACAGTATGTCATTAAAGAACAATAGCTGACAAGAAAGTATAAGGTTATGAATGTTATCTATTTCATATTGAATTGAAGGAAATTTGGCCAAGCATTTCTGCTGGTATCTGATACACTGCAAGATACTAACACACTGTTTATCAATACTCTTCACTTTGCTAGATTAAACATAGTTAATGTTGAATGCCAGTCCTCCACTGACTTTGGCCTGGAAAGATAACACAAGTGTACTGATAAACAAACTACATAAAAAAATGGATACTACAGTGTTTAAACGCTAATACTCCATCAGTGTGTCAGCATATCTAATATTCAATCTTCTTATTTCTAAACATTTCATTCCCCAGTAAAGACAAGACAAACATGTGATAAGACAAGACAAATTGTCTTCCTCATAACATATCTTTCACATTCATCATAATCACCTTGCTATGTACAAATAAAAAACTCAAAAAACTAAAAAAGTTTTATCCTGAACATCACCTGGTGGTTAAATGTTTTCTTGCGCTGCAGGCCCTGGCCCAAACCCGGCCAGCGTCAGGTTTTAATTGTAGTCAGATGGATCTGCTCCTCATATAACCCTCGCAATCAAGGGTGGATCCAGAGATGTCAGAAAGGAAGGGGGAAGCAAAAGGGGACCAATCGCGAGACAACACCCTGCAAAATTCTTGTTTTGCCTGAATAACCTAAAATAAATTCTTTTTTCTTTCTTTTTTTTTTTTTCATTTTTTTTTTACTTTCCCAAAGGGTGGGGAGGGGGACTGGCTTTGGCAACCTCCCTCCACCATCTAAATCCGCCGATGACAATGTATCAGTTATATGTCAGTACTGGTGCTACACTATGGCTACCGCAGGTCACCCAGGGGCCCAACCAAAATTTCCAATTTCAAATATTTGAAACTGGGACAAAAAAGAAAAATTTAATCTTTAATTTAACCTTTAAACTAGGCTCCAGGGGAAAAATATTTGTTGATTCACATGAAATATTTTGTATCTTAGAAAATTAATTGTACAGCATCAAATTGGGATTTTTTTATTCCTCTGGGGCCTGGTTTTAAAAACCATGAATAACAGTTTATGTGTTAAAATATAAAAAAAAAAAAACCCAATAGCAAATTGACACCATTAAGCTACTACTACTGTACTACTATTTAGCTACCATATTATCTATGGTTGCACCTACAGATGTGCCAATCATTTTATCTCGCCAATCATTTATCACATTATGCATTCTTATGTTCACAGCTTATCAGGCAACCAAATTAAACATTGTATTGTTGGGATAATGTAATTAAAGTTTATCATCCCTTTATCATATTTTACTTACAGTACTCAGGTGACCACAAATTTGTGTAATATGAGGAGAGAGAATGCCTACAAAATTCATTTCAAGACCCAGTTGTCCCAAACCCTGTCTTCTTTTTGTCATCACCACTGTATATTTTGGGAGGGAAAATGT